TGGATCTGTTTTGGGATGCAAGAATATTATATTTGTGATTATATGTCAATTATTGCAATTACATAGAAACATAATGAAATTTTATCAGAGTAGCGGTCTGGTTATTAAAACAGTTAATAATTTTGTGTTTTTAAATTTTCCAAGATATGAGCAAATTATTATTACGAGTAGATTTATGTATGACATGCGACACCTACTCAAATCGGCATTTTAATCGAATCAAAATTAAATAGGATTTTTTTTTGACAAGAATGTTTTGTCCTAAAGGTACATGCTTGGAAATTGTTCAAAAGCAGTGGTCGTAACTACAAACAACTTATTATTGGGACGACTGTGCTATTCTAAATGATTTACAAAATTTACACTTAATCTATTAACTAATTTTCAGTTTACTAATTTCAAATCAAAATTTCATTTATTCAAGTTGTTTTAGCTATTTGTTTTCTTTGAATTTAATTTCCACTCTAAAATAAAAATTTTGCTATTAAGTTTCGAAATGGCTATCAAGTTTTTATAAAGAATATCAAAACAGAATTACCCACGTCATAACAAATTTTCATATTAATAGGCAACAAGAAGAAAAAAATTAAGTTGTTACTAAACTAAAAATAACAAATTGAAACTGAAATACCACACACAACAAAAGAAAAGAGAAAAGAAACTCAAATAATAAAATTCTAAAAATTCCCAGATTTTCAATTTCTTTTTAAAATTTTAAAATAAATATTTAATTAAAATTTTTTCACTTTTAATAAACATTGTATTTTTATACTAATTTAATTATATTTTTACACATTTAATACGTTATTATTAAATTAATTTTTTACAATTAAATATTTTTAAAAATGAAAATATCAACAATTTCTCAATTGAGTTGTAAAAGTATTCCTATACTATAATTTTAATGTTAAAAATTTCTATCTTTACTATATATAATTTTTGAGTATAATTTAGAACAGTTTACAAAAAGAAAAAAATTAATTATTTGGTTGTTAATAAATTTTAATTTTAATGAATATTTCAAGTAGGAAATAAAAATTTTATATGTGTGTACCATAGCTATTTAATTTAGAGCAAATAAATAAAAATGAAAATAAATTGTGGTGATTTAAGGAAAATCAAAAGGAAAATAAAAGAAAATAAAGGAAAATATTTTCATTTTAGAAAATTACGCATAAGTAACAAATATTTTAGAAAGTAGAATAGAATTTTAATAAATGAATACAAAGTAATTCATTGGAATAGCCCTTCTGATAAAAGGACAATTTTAATTTAAAAATTTTATTTGGTTCCTACATTTCTATAAAATTTAAAATACAAAATTTAATAGTTTTTTTAAAAAAATCACTATTAAGTTAGATCTTATTTTAACCATATATCGTCCCTCTTCTGACAAATAGGCGTAACCACAAAATACCATTTTCGAGAAAAATACATTTTTCAAATTTGACTCAAAAAATGTTCATATTTTTTCATTTTGTTGTTTAGTAATATTAAGACATATACAGTCAAGTGATGCCTTTTTTTGGTTATTTCATTGACTGACAATAATGTGTATATAGTTAAACGTGTTGCTGCTATTTGATTTTTATTCATAATTTTGTTAAAGATAATAAATATATGTCTTTCTGAGAATGTGCGTTAAATGGAAATGCATTTGACATAAATAATATTTCAAATTTGAGAAAATTGCAGTTACGCCTATTTATTAAATGTGGTATGTGTTAAATAAACCAAAAAAATTATGTCATACTTGAATTCTTTCAAATATAAATACATTATCAGTAATTCACAATTATTAATGCTTAATTGCATATTTTGATTCACAATTGGAGTCATGCTTTAAAGTGTGACAGTTCTTTATCTTGCGATTCTTGTTTGTTCAAAAACAAAGGTATGAGCTCGGAAAATAGTAACAGAATTTTAAGCAGAAAAAATAAATAAATGAAATTAAGGCAAGAATGAAAGATAATAAGTAATCTGCTATTTCCCAGCATTCAATTTCGTATCCAAGGCATAGGATAATTAAATAGGTGACAATGCGACAAAACATATTTCACGTCACATACATAATTAAAATATTAGCGTTACACTACTTAAATATAAATATACTAATTTGTAAAATTAAAAAAGTTATTAGAAAATTTTAATAAATCGGCCCTAGGTCAAATTATTTACAAAACTAAAATTTAGTATCTAGTTTAGAAACACATTACAATGACTTATAAAACAATTCGAATAGTTTTGCCAAATTTCAGAATCCTAGAAGACACAGATCTCAAAAAAAATATCCGCAAAATGCTAAGAACATAATGCGTAACATTCATACATAATTTTTTATTAATTTTACTATGAATGAAAGTGTTAAGTATGTTTATGTTTCTAGATGCATTTAAGTATGCACATATATATGTATTTGATTGTGTATGTATATCAACAAATTGTTAGATTAATTGTTTTTTCTTAGAAATTTTTATTTTCCTATAAAAAACCAATCCGTACAAATACAAATATGTGTGTACGTTCATTTTTCATTTGTATTTTATCTATGTAACGTATAATATGTTATGTACACACACACATATCGTGTATAATTTCGAATTGGAAATTTTAAAAATTTACCTCGGTAATAATAAATAACCCTATCGTTTAACAATACATTTAGGTGTTGTTTACACCAAATGTTCTTTTATTAAGTATTTTTTTCTTTTTTCATTTTGCAAACAATTTTAAATAAAAATTCAATTATTTAATAAAAAAATTTAGGTGTGTATGTGCACATAAATTTATGAAAGTGGTTTATGGAATTAAAAAATATAGGGAAATTAAGAATTTATAAGGAATTTTTGAAATTTGTAAATAAAATGATGAGTTTTTAAACAAGAATGCGATAAAAAAAATTTTTTTTTTTTAATTTGTTTACAATTTTATTGAATACCAAAAGTTTTTAGACTTTAGAAACATTTTCTTGAAATTATATATATTCATACATAAATACATAATGTATATAAGTATGTATATATAAATACCATTAAACTCCAGTTAATTTCTTAATAGCAATAAAACAACTTGAGATTAAAATTTTTAAAATTTTATAAAAACTTAAGTATATTTCGCAGTTCTAATTTAAAAAATTTTTAATTGATATTTAAATTGAATGTTATACGGTGATTGCATTGTAGATACAGTTAGTATAATTTTACTTGATCACCAAATATATACAATGAAATTTGGAGTTTTTTAAGAATTGTCACAAGAAATAACAAATAACAAATAAGGTACATGATTAGTATGACAGTACTTAAATTAAACAGGTTCAATTTATCGTCAATTTCATTTTTCTCTTGCACGGCAGAATGTAGAAGTGTATACCGAATTATATAGGATTAAGTATTGCTTATGTTATTGAGGAATATTGAAATTTCCTTAGATCTAATTTATTTTTTTTTTTAGTGTTGAAATTAATATAATATCCTGTATAATCCTATATAAGATGTACACAATACCAAGAAAGCTCATTTGACTCACGTATTGCAAAGGTAATTATGACGTTGTAATAAAAATTATTTTGTTCCCATTATTGGAGAAAAAATAATTATTATTTGTAATTGTATTTGAATGCCTGTATAGAAGCATTAAATTAAAAGAAAATATTTAAAACTTCTTTTAATCTTTTAAAACAAAAAATTTGACTGTAATAATAAATAATTTTATATTTTGTAACAAAATGTCAATTTAATTCTAATAAAATTTTTAAAAATTTTAAATGAAATTTTATTCCTTTATATTTTAATTTTTTCCAAATTTCATTTTACTAAGTTAAAAGGGAAAAATCAAAATGACTGTCCATTTTGAATAAAATTTTATTTTTCTGTTTTCATTTTACTTAATTTTTTTTTTTTTTTGCGACTATATTTCTATTTTTACACCTGCGATATTTTCTCTTCTATTCATTCACAATACATTCATACTTTTACATAGATATTTTTTTGTTTTTAATAAAATTTTATTTAATTATTTATTAATATTAAATGAGTTCTACTTTATATCATAAACACGCACACACACACATATTTGCTTTTGTCCACAAGAATTATTTTTTTTTTCAAAAATTTATTAAAAATAATAATTTTATTACAAATCACTTTTTAATTAATAATTTGAATTTTGATAATTTTATGCTTTTTTATATATGTACATATACGTATATATAAGCGTGTATGTTAAAATATTTTTAAAACACAATTTTCTTTTAAATTGTCACCATTATAGTTTTTATTTTTATCTTTTGATAAATTAAAATATTAAATTGTTTATTACGGCGAAAAGAAAAGTATTACGCATTTATATATACATATTTATAGGTATGTATGTATAAATATAGTCAAATTGAGTATACATTAAATGTATATATAACATATGTATGTATATACATCTAAATATATTTATACGAATACTATAACAGTATAGTGTTGTATACTTGGAAATAATTTTTGATAAATATCCAAAAATTATGAAACAATTTTATTTTTTAAATTTTGAAATATTTTTTTTAAATAAATTAAATTTTTTTTTTATTTAATTTTAAAGTAAACTATTTAAAATGCAATATTAATTAGATGTGTAGATTAGAAATGTCGGATTATCCTTTTATTTTTTAATATAATGTAAGAATTTTCCTTTTTCCGTAAATTATTCCAGTTGAAATTCAAACAATATTTAGCGTATATTATGACACTTAAGATATAGAAATAAAAATTTTAAAATTTTCACCGTTATAATAATAAAAAATTACGCAAGAGGCAATTTTCACATAAAATATTTCAATTTTTCACAATTCCAAGACTCGTCAAACAAAAAAGACAAGAAAAAGATCAAACTTTCATTTTCCATTTTCTTTTTTTCACAAATTTAAAATTTCTTATATCTTATTGGTTTTTCTTTTTTATTTATTTAAGAATTATTACAAAATATTTTACAATTTCCTTTCTTTCTTTTACATTTTTTTTTATATTTTTTTAATTTATTTGAATTCAAATTCTTATTGATTTGTATATTTTTTTTTGTTTTTTCAAGAAAATTATAATAAAGCGGCTTTCTCACATATTTCCCGACTATTGCACAAACTACACTAAAATATTTTAAATAATAAAAATTGCCTACCCAAAACAAAAACAAAAAAAAACAAATTTCTTATTTTATTCAAAAGGTACTAGAGTGGCAGCACTCAACAAAAAAACAAAATTTCTCGGAAGTATGCGCGATCAATTAAAAACAAAAAATCATCAGAACAAAAGACTGATAAAATGAAAAATAAACATTTTTTTTTTTGTATTTTTGAAGGAAAAATTAAAAAAAATTTCTTTTTAGAAAATTTAAAAAACAACAACAATTACGAAAAAAACAAAATTAATTTTTTTTTTTTCAAATAAATTTTAAATAAGTTTTAAGTAAAGGAAAATTAAAAACTGACCGAATTTATTTGTCGGGTCGTTGTCACACAAGCAATTGTTTCGGCGACGACGAAAACAACTGCTCTCGTTTATGGCTTTTATTCGTTTGTTCTCAAAATTTTGAAAAAATTTTAGAAAAACCGTACTAAGAATAAAAAAATAGTTTGTTTTTTTTTTTTGTGTCAAAATTGAGAAAAAATATTTATTTTTATTTTTGTTTGTTAAAAACTTATTATCTACGTCATTAAAAAGTTTTTTTTTTAAAGGAAATCTCCAAAATTAAATGAAAAAATTTTATATTGCGTTATTTACTAGGTAATTAAAGATTTTTTCAAAAACTTTTAATCGTGTATAATTTTATTTTATACCATTTTTTTTTTTTGGAGAGATTTTCATTCTCCATGCCTTATCAACAATTTTTAGGCTGAAACAAAATATATACAATACAAGTACAATAAATTTTTTCTCACAAATTCCTTGAGAGAATTGGAGCAATCAATTTTTTATTTTCATATACCAAACAACTTTAACAAATACAAAAAGAACAAGGAAAACTTTTGAAAAAAAAGTCTCCAAAACAAGCACAATATTCACGTATTTAAAAAAAGATTTCCCCTTGTTTCACAATAAGGAAATTATTTTTTATTTATTTTCATTTTTAAAATTTTCAACATATTTGCATTGTACAAATTAATTTATTATACACGTCCAGCATTTCGTTCATATGTGTGTTGAGTTTTAGAAAATTGTACTCTTAAAAAACACTTTTAATGCAAAAATACATATGTACATACGTAGAAACTTTTGTAAACTAAACGTAAATTTGAAAATAAAAGCTAAAGAAAAAAATAGTCATGAAATCTCCAATTTCTCTTTTTTTTTTTGAAAATCTTTTAAAATGTTCGAATTCGCCACTATATTATTGTGAAAAGTTTATTTTTGAAATTCTTGGTTAATAACTTTGGGAAGTTTTCTTTTTCTTTCGAACTTTATTAAGATTTTTATTATTGTTTTTTTTTTTTTTATTATTTACTTAGATTTTGTAATCTTTGTTGGAAATTTTATTTTTATTGGATTTTAGCCAACTTTACGAAAAATTTATATTTTAGAGAATTGAATTAATTTTGAAAGCTTTTTTTAAAAATACCACCGATGATCAATAAAATAAATGAAACGAATAAATGAGATGATTTTCGGATAATACCCTACATACATGCATATTATAATGTTTAAAAGATCGAGTATCGAAATTTTTTAATTTATGTATTTCCTATAGAAATATATGTATGAATAAATACATATAGTACGAATAAAAATCTATGTTTAATTTTAATAAAGCTTATGGAATTAACTTAAAGAATTTTCGGATTGGAACTTTTAGGGTTTGTTATGTTTTCTCTAAGGAATCTTTGATCTGAAAGATGAGTTGGCCATTAATGAGTTCTTTCAATTTTGTTCAGTAATTTCATTTAAATAACAACCCTGTGAGGTATTATGTTTTGAAAACATTTGAAATCCCTAAAAAAATTAACAAAAATATAATGAGCATCAAATTTGTTTGAGCAAATTTTTAGAAATTAACTCTATCAGGCATTTGATCCAAGAACAAGCTCTAAAAGAAATTTAAAAAAAGTTACTAAATATAAATAACAAACATTAAAGTGTTATAAAGGTCAAAATATTTTAGTTCCCACCGTTAGATCCCAGACCCTGTAAAAGATCCTGGAAAACATCTGAATAAAATTACCGCAATATGATCTTGCGGTTTTGCAAGAAAAATTATTTTCCATTTATTGAATCTAGCAAATGGCATCATATTTCTTCAGTTTTGATTTATAAGAAAATTTAAGAAATTTTTGGGGTCATATAGTTACTTAGACGTAAGAGGAAATTATAATACAAATATTTGATGAGTTTAGTTAAACATTTAAAATTTTGAACTCATAGCACTCAACAGTAACTGTATAGTCGAAATAAATTAAGAAATAAAATTTTAATATAGAATAAAATAAGCTCAGAATAATCTGCAATTTTTTCTGTTCTGTCTTAATTCTAAACTCATATATTAAATACATAAAAAACATGGTAAATTTTATTCTAGAAATTTCATTTTTCTTATTTTCTACATACACCATAGTATAGCACCCAATAATCTAATTTGAAATATTCAAAATTTCCGTATAGTTTTTTTAACAACTTTAATATTTTACAATATTTAATTAAAATTTACGATCAAAATTCTATAAATAAATTCTAAAAATTGTTGAATTATAAAATAGTTTGTGGTCGCGGGAGTCACCCCAATAAAATATAATATGTGTAATCATATAACCATAAATTTTGAATTCTATATTTAAAAATTAAAATATGTACCTAATAAAAAAGTTTTAAAATTGCAAGCAACTTCGACATAGATTCCATTACTCACTTAAAATTTTATTATTCATTTGTAATTTGTAAAGGGGATTTGTATAAAAATAAATTTAAAAAAAAAATAATAATAAAAAGAAATTCAAATAAAGCTATTTAATATTTATTTTTTTATAATGTAGACCTAATATGTGTGTGAATGTGTAATGTGCATATAGGAATTCTGTTGTTACGCGCAATAAAAAGTGAATTTTTTCAAATAAGAAGAATGAAAAACAAAGCATCACTATGCTAGAACAAACAAAAAGAAAAACTTGGAAACGTTTTCTATAATAAATTAGGTCAAAAAATCAAATATTTTTCTTTCTTTTGTTTTTTTTTTTTTTAATTTTATTTTCATTTTCCACTGTTTATAAATTTACGAAAACAAAGAATATTCCGCTGCCGGCACAATATTGTTAAATAAAAAAAAAAAATAATTGTTGCGATTAATCGTTGGCAAAATATTTTTAATTTGCAATTAAATTTTAAAGATTCTCAATAGTCATTTTGCGAGTGAAGATTCTTTTGCACTAAAATAATTAATTTCTGTGTGGAAAATTTAGATTTAGTTTTTTGCATTTTAAAGCAAGGAGGAATCTTAATAAATATGTACAAACATATTATGAATAAAATAAATACAATTTATAATCGAAAAATATTGCATATACGCAGGCGAAAGAAAAATATTTAAGTTGAAATTCGACAAATCACCAGTCCAAATTCTTCACTAAAGAATCAAAGACATCAAATTCAGGTAAAGCTGATGTCACTGGCGGAGAGATTTAGTAACGAATAAAGAATCATGTAATTGATCACAATTAATTAAAAGTTAATGAATTTTAACCTTTGAATTTAGTTTTTAATCTTAATGCCATTGAGTTCTGAAGTAGAGCTTCCAGTTGGATCTAATGTCAAGCATTGAATTTTTAAATATAAATTACTTTTGAAAAGCTTTGAATTGACTTTTTTAAAATATGGATGGCGGTGTATATTAGTAAAAAATTGTCAATTACTTTTAATGTTTTACGAATTTAAGGCAAAATTGACTAGATTTAAGAAAGTGAAATTAAGTACAAATTAAATTTTATCTTGATTCAATCCAATTCTTTCATTATTTTTGAAAATTAAAGTTTGAGAATTAATGATAGAAAAATTTCATACAAAATATAGAATAATTTAGTAGTTACAATGTACATATGTTTGTATTTATAAATAACAAAAATGTTATATATTGTAATTTTTAAGTAAAACAGAAAACACACCTGACACATAATAAAAATTTACAATAATTGTCTTTAAAATAAAATTTTGAAAAAATTTATTATTTATCATACGCTTGAATGAAATTAGAGCGCATTAAATCAAAATAAAAAGACAAGGAAAAAAAAAATGAGGATAAAAAAATATTATTAAACTTCTAAAATTATTTTATATGATACGAGTATGCACATGTCATTAATAGAGGCCCAGACTATAAGATATTTTTATATTTTTAAGTTTTAATTCGAAAATAAGTTTTAAGTTTACCATTTTACTTGGTAACATATAGCCACCAGTATTTTATGAAATGTCACTCTTTTCATTCTATTATGCGGTTCAAAGTTAGCGGTTCAATAAAAATTTCCTAAAATTATTTAGTCTAACCGTCACCTATATACTAGAAATTTAGTAATATTATGTTGAGTCTTACTGAATAAGTTTAATCTATTCAATAATTGTTGTAAATATTGAATTTGTTAATTTATGCTTAAAGTTGAACTGATTAAGCAAGGGCTCAAATAAATTAATTATTATTTTAGTAGGTTATTCTCGACGAGTGAGAAGAAAACGAGTGAGTACAATATAATTTTCAAGTGAGAATAATTTTTTCGTATCTTGTTTTTTTTTCGCAATTAATTCACTTTATTTTTGAAACCAATTGATATTTTGAGAAAAAATGAGTAGTTTTATTGAAAAGATGACATATCTAATTCAAAAAATGAGAATGCTGATACGAACACGAGTGAAAAAGGTGAAAAACATAATCAAACTGTTAATTAATTATGAAATAAAAATAAAAATTTTTTCAATTACTATGTAAACATTTCAATCCTTTTTTCACCCATTATTAATAATAAAATTTACAAATTCATAATACTCCTTCTCATAAATGAGTTCTAAATATAATGTATAGGTACAAGTACATCTAGCAAATATATGCAAACATTCTACACGAGTATGTATGCAATCGACAATATAGAACAGATAAAATTATTATAGCAAAAAAAAAAAATGTGATCTAAAAATAAAATTTTTTTTTTCACATCACTCACATACTCTTGTATTATATGCTTATTTACGTACATATATAACATATATACCATATTTTATAACATACAATATGTATGCTCTTATTAAAATTTATCATAAATATTAATATAAATGTACCAAGCAGTCTACTGTTAGCAATTTTTTCGAACTTTATCATAAGGAACATGTAGGTACTAATCATCACATTAGGTTATTATTCTTTTATTTATTTTACTATATATACATTACTTACTTATATACATATATTTATGTATACAATATCTGAATAATGGGAGCAAATGAATTTATTTTTAGAATAAACGATAGACAAATTATACCACAGGTGAGTTAATTTCGATATTTATATAAATATAAATAATGAATATTATCAGAAATAAAAAATGTGGGTTTTATCAATTTTAATTAGATTTATTGAAATAAAATTTAGAAAGGGTTCAAATAAAAAATTGTCTCTTATATGTTACGTAGATAGATTTAAAAAAATAAAAAAATTGTACCCATAATTTGAAATGCTTAATATTTAAAATTTTTGTCTTATAATTTATTTAGAAAAAATTTATAACCATGGTGGAGTATTCCATTAAATTTTTCTATTAAAATTTATTTGACAGTCAGTTGTATGTCTTCATCGGAATACCCATAAATTTAACAAATTTATTACAAGAGTTATTATGAATTTTTACTCTATTGTCACTATAAAATATTCAGAAATAATTTTGGTCTAGATCTAGAATAAAAGAGAAATTATTACATCTAAAAATTTTATATAATTTCACAAATCTTCTAGGTTCATTAGATAATTTAATAGAATATAATTTTATTCCTATGACTCATTGACTGCTTTTGATCCAGAACATGAAATTTACATATGTATGTCGTAGATAATTTTCTTTTTCTCTTTTTATGAAGTTTGTTATTAAATTATGGTTTATTTTATATAGATCGTGTAGATTTCAAATCAAATCAGCCTATAAAAAAGTGGTTGGATTAAGAAAAATTGAAATGGATTAAATGTAAATTATTTTTCGGGGTTCTACAAATATACATATATATATTATTCTTTAAGACAAATTTATACTTTTTGGGATCAATTGAAATCAAGTAAAATATCGTCAGATAAAAAATTTTTAAAAGAATGGGGAATGAAAAATTAAAAATGTTCAAATTAGTCTAAATTAATTTATAATTAAAATTTATTGTCGTTTCTGAGGAAGGATGAAACCATTTTGCTAGTGTTGTTAATTTTTGTAATACAGTACACAAATAGAAAACGGAACTTTAATCTAATAGATTGTAATGACTAAGTGATTTAAATTAAGCTTAAATTTTATAAAGTATCAAAAATTTTCCCATTATGATCTCACAAAAATTTTAAATAAATTTCTTTAATTTTTCATTTTCAATAAGTTCGAGTACCTACTTTGCTATCTTTTCTTACATTTTATACAGCAAGACAAAAAATAATTAGTTGAAAATTGTAATTGATAAGTTTTACAGTTTTTTTTTTTTTAATGGTTGTAAATGAGTATAAAGATTGTATACATTATTATATTTTCAATAAATTTGTATCTATTTCTTTTGCATCGGTCTTTCAATGAAATTTTAAGAACACTTAATAAGCTTTTTAAGTATAATTTTGAGTTTCATCCAGCCTGTTAAAATTTGGTTTTATGAGAAGTATTTTACCTTAACATTTGACAATTTCATTCCTATAATATCTCAAAGATTATTGTTTTAGAGTATTTCAGAAAGAGCAAGTGATTTTATAGTTGCACATTCTTTATATTTGTTATTTTATTACACATTATTTTTGTAAAGACACTACTCATGAATTATACATATCTATGATTCAAAATAATATATTCACTAGTTTATCACATCATTTTATAAAATTACTCGTATTCACTAATATTTCCACTCACTTTTACAATGATTTCCTTGTACGACTTTAAACCGACGATATAAAATTAAACGAAAATTTCCATTGATTAAAAACAAAATTGAGCAAAATTCAATTTAAAAATTTTTAAATGAAAAAAATTAAAGAAAAAAAAATTACAAAACTCACCTCTTGTAGAGCCTTTTTATCAGGAACTTTATTACTTTGTAAAGTTCTTATCACATTTTTAGCTCCATCAACAACAGCTGCTTCAATTCTTAATCTATGCCGTAATTCTTCAATACGATCCTCTAATGATGTTTCTAATCTTTCTGGACGATTATTATCACCGCCATTTTCATCAGATCCAGCTGCTGATAAACGATGCATTTGATCTTTATTTTGTTTAACTTTTAATATTCGTAAACGTAAAAATTCAATTTTTGCTTTTGAATCAGCTAACATTTGTTGAGCTTCAGCTAATAATTTTTTATCACGTCCGTGATGACCACTTGATATCGATTGAATCATATTTTCTGCACCATTTTTAACTTTCATTTCAATATTTAATTGTTTTTCTAATGACATTAATAATTTATCATTTGTTGTTGATTCAGGATTATTCGATGTTGTCAAGGAGGATGATAAGTTATCTAAAAAAAAAAACAAATAAACAAATAGGAAATTAATTTTAATATTCAGGCACTTTTTGAATAAATATATTAAATAGAAATTCAAGTATGTTCGTCTAAATATTAATAAATAATTTAGTTTAAAATATTGGAAAAGCGTAAAAAATGTGTTTAAATAAAAAATTTATGGCATTTCAATTAAAACATCCTAAACATTTTTACACAGAAAAAAACAATTCTGAAAACAACAAACTTTCATTAGCATCATTTATTTAACACTATTTTTGATTAAAATCAAATTTAATGAATAATGATGAGAAATTTTAGCAACAACTGAAAAATAGTACCTTTTTCAAAACATGCAATCGTGACCAGAAATTCCGCATGGAATATGAGAGAAAAAATTAAACAAAATTAAACAATATTTTACCTTTAAGTCCAAGTTTTAACGTAAGTTTCAAAAACAAAATAGAGTCAATGATTTTTACTGTGTTTCTTTAAGATTCTAATTAGTTCGAAAACCGCAACTTGATCAACTTAATTGATCATGATCCAAATAAATACTAGAGAGCTTTCAATATCATATTTACAGCTTTGTTTGATAAAATTTGTGCTAAACTTTCTAAATTCATGCAATAATTGTTATTAAATACTTAATAATTTAAAATATTATTATGCACATTATGGTATTATTGAATTACATACAGGGTGATCCAGTAATTAGTGCTAGAATAAATTTTTTGTTCAGAACTAGGTTTCAAACCACAACAGTATCCGAAATACAAGGATTTTAACGAATTTTCACGAATTTTCTATTTTCTCTTTCATAAAAAACGTAGCAATTTTAAAAAGGAGAAATTTCTTTGAATGTAGAAATTTTGTGAAAATTACTTAAAATCCCTGTATCTCACCCTGTGTGACAAAAATATACAATATGTACATATTGTATAACACATACGAGAAAATAATATAATATTTTAAATCACAAATGACGTCAAATACAAAATTAATTTCGTTTTCTACCAATTATAAAAAAAAGCTCTCAAATTATAATAACGCCTCGTTGTTTCAAACCTCTAACAAATCCAAATAAACACAATTACAATCTTCAATTTAAATACCATAAATTGAATTTACAAAATAATAAAATTTTGCAATTTTTTCGACATTATCAAATAATTTTTCATATTAAATTAGATTATTCAATGTCATTTTCATATTATATGACGAATTTAATTAAAAGGCTTTAAAATATACCACCCTCTTATAAAATCTAGTAAAAAAATTTTTTCTTTTTTATTTCACAATAATTAGATACTTTCACATTCAAGGTAAATGTACTATATAAAAGCTATTTATATGCTATACAACATGAATATTTCTACACATACAGTTTTTATAGCTCGCCGTACAAAATATCCTGCCAATCAACCTAAAACCCCAACAGTAACAAAAAAAAATAATAAACGTGAAATAAAAACAACACTAAAATCAAATAGATTCAATATTAAAAGTTAGTGTTAAAGAATGACTATGTCGGTGGCATTTCTGTAGTTTATTATCCACCTACAAACCGCGAGAAATACAAGCAATTTCCTAAGTGACTACATCAAAAATAAAAAATTTGCAAAAAAAAAGAATGAGAGGAAAAATTGAACAAGAAAAATAACGAATAAATAAAAATTATTATTATTTTTTATTAATGTAGAAGGGTTGCCAGCTCTTTTATTATAGAAAGCAGATGAATGTTAAGAAAGCGATAAATGGATTAAACTATTCAGAATTTGAAAAATTTTAACAATTTTTGTATTTTTAATTAATTATATTTTTTCTTAAAAAATTTTGAGTAGCCAATTTACACTTAATTAACTTATTTATTTAAAAACACATTCATACTTTTTTCCGATAAGCGAGTTTTGAAATAAGAGCACCACAATTTTTTGTGTTGATTCAACAGTTTAACTCTTCGATGGGCTCTATGTATACAAGTAGAGGAAGTGTTCATTTCTACACCATTAATTCATTTAAAATTTTAATTCTAAATTTTATTTGTTATAAAGAGTTATTTTAGAACTATTATTTTGATTTTTCATATATTTAAAATAAATAGCAGTAACAATATTTACCCTGCAAATACGTAAAATACCTGTAACAGTATTTACGTAAAATAATATATTAGTAATATAGAATTAGAAGATAAAGAACTAAATTGAGTAAGTATTTTTGGCCACCTTGAATATAATGAAAGCTACTTCGTATAACAGTTAGTACACAAGTATAGGAAATTGCAATTATACCATATGTATATAGAATAATTTTATAAAGTGAATAGCATGAAAGTGTTATTGAATGAATGAATAAATGAGTGAATGAATGAGTGAATGTATTTAAATGGCATAAATGCAAAGTTCAAAAATAATGTTTGATTGTAGTATAACACATACAAAAGCTTCAAACAAAACATATACGTTACATAAGTATTTTCTTTTTCTTATTATAAATGTTTGTGTACTTTTTTAATTTTTTTATAGAAATAAAAAAAATGGACGATAGACAGTGCATTAACAATAAAATAAAACTCTCTTGAGAGTACCTAATAAGGAGTTTCTTTCCATTTTTGATTTGTTTTTCCTTGATTCCATTGTATAATAAGAAAATTTACAGATAAAACAGTAGAAAAAAAATGTATTTATTGAATTGTTCAAGCGATAGACAATTAAGAGTTTTCCTTTTTTTTCTTTTTTGTAAATAAGTTGCTGCTATAGAGTAAAATTACTGCACTTGAAAAAAGAAAAAATATGAGAATAAGATGACCAGTAAAAACTTACTAGGCGGTAAAATAAAAACAAAAAATATTTTAATAGATCCAAGTACTATTTCCCTCCGTTTAAAAAATGAAATCGGAAAATAAAATATCAACTAGGTAAAATATTATGTAAAAAGGTTACCAACTGTTTTAAAATTTTTAATAAGTCGTTTTATTAAATTGTTTTAATGTTAAAATTATAGACCATTTCATAAACACATATACTCACATACATCGCGATATATATTGAAAACTGCGTTGTATTTATTGTTGCCAATCTTATTTGTTAAATTTTCGCAATTTAGATAAATTGTTTTGAGTATAGCACATTTAAATCATGTGAATTGTTTAGATATAAGAGAATTGTGTTAAAAATATATTTTATCATATTAAGTTTTTGGAGTATTGCATTTGTGAAAATCTTTTAAATAACAGTAAAGAGGTTGGCAAGAGAATCTTGAAAAAAAAATTAATACTTAATTAACTATTTCATTATTACTTTTACCTAAAAAAAACCTAGATATTGCGTAGCACATAACACCATATTAAAGTTTAATTACGGTGCAGTAAAATTCATAAACATGATACTACTATAAAAAATTTAGTATAGTTCTAAGAATATTGGCATCAGAAAAATCAAAATACTTTTGCAGGCTTGTTATTCACCTTAAAAAATATGAGCAGTGAAAAACTCTTAAAAAAACTTGAAGAAATTTTAAACGAAAGCTCTCAAGTTGGGCATTCTTATCCGCATTTATTCATACACATACTCAAGAGAGTTTTAGAATGAAAAAGACGTTTTCAATCAAATTCTTAGAAGAAAATAAACGGCTTTCAAGATCAGAAATAAATTCATGTAAAAAATAAAAACCTTTAAATAAGCGTCTAACTTTCAAATTCTTTTTTTTTTTCAATTAATTTGGTAACCTTATTACTTCCATAGTACAATGTACTTGTACGTACAAATATATTTAATTTAGAAAGAAAAACAAAAAAAAACAATATACTCGTAGAAACTCGAGTCTCGAGTCTTATCTCTTAACAAATCTCTTTTTAAATTATATTGAGATTAATATCGTCTTGGTTGAGTAGAATTGATTGTCTCGTCGCTTGTCTGTACGTTATATTGATGTTTTTAAAATTATTTTGTTTTCGCGTAATTTTTGGTTCAATAAGGCAATTTTTCTATACATACATATATAAAAGTATATTAATATTACTATACATATACTGAAAATACAACTATGAAATTGTATATACAAACGTATTTAAATATTATTTTAAATATTTTATTTTACTGTTGTTTTATAGTGTCTCTTTAATGCTTATACTTTACATTTTATTTTGTCTTATGACTATTTAAGATTAAAATTGAATTGATAAGGAATATTGTTAATAACTAGTAGAACGAGTTTATTACTTTAAGGCAGAGGAGGAATTGTGATTAAAATCAATTATTATGAAAATGTATTCGTTTGGAAAGTATAATAAAATTGTAAAATTGGTTATAATATCAGAAAAGAATTATTTAAAATTAAAGTATTGTTATATTTTAAATTTTGTTCAGGTGACTCAAAACCATTATATAAGAAGAATAATTTCAATTGCTATGGCTATGGATTGATACGGCAACTGTACATAGTTTTGTGTTACACATTTTCTAGTTACTCAAGCAATAAGCTGTAGATCCGAATGAAAATTGCAAATTGATTGGGATGAATTTTTGCGGTACATTCTTAAAAAAAAGTACATTTGTAAAAGTATTTAAGAAAGTACTCATTTCATATTGTTGTTCGTTGATTCTATATTTTTATAGGAATTGTGGTACGAAGTTGTTATTTCCACCAAAATTTTAAAAACTATAAGTTTCAACAAGATTTCATTTAAATGTGTTTTTTAATTTAATTTCTACAAATTTTTGTAGAGTTCTAGGAATTTTTTTCTGGAATTATGCATACTGACCTAAAGAAATCATTCAAATTTTTGGAAAACTTTTCAATAAAACAGCAGCTTGAAAGTTTTGACCGAATAATTGGATTGTTTTTTATCGAAATTTAGAACACAATCAAAGTTATTATGCATAAATGTACATATGTGGACACTAGATCATAACTGGCACCATGAAATTGGGTATACCTACACGTGCGTAACTTAAAGCCGATACAATGCCGATTTTCATAGCTGCTCTTCGATTTGATTTGAATCGGACGATCAA